TGCGAGCACGCCCGCAGTAACTTGGCGACCCCTGCCCGCGGTGGCGCTGCAGGCAGAGCCCCTCCCTCTCCTGTTGCATGACTCGGGCGCCTCTGAGCCCTGGAATTTGTTTTAAGTGTTGTGGTGAGCAATAACTGGTGCGTAGTAAGATGCGCGGCGCGCGCAGCGCCTTAGATTGCCTAGTTTGGTTAAATTCATGAAGTCTCATATGTGTCAGATAGGGTTGTTCCTGTTGTCAGGCGGGGAAACTGAGGCTGAGAGAAAGCAAAACACTTTGCGCGGGACTGGATAGAGCTCTCCCACTTCTGCTACCCCTTCCCCCTGCTGCAGATCAATGCGTTGGAATGTTTCAGTCACTTATCAAGTCCTATTTGTTGTGCTTTTTCTTTTTCTCTTTCCTAGCTCTACCCAATGACCGTCCAAACACCCTGGAGAAGTGGTTTCTAAATCTGAGAGGACAACCGAGGGGTGAGGGGCTCTTGCATTTTCTTTAGAAAAGAAATAGAATGTTGCACCCCTCTGTAGTGTGAATCTGACTACTGGAGACTGGGAGGTGCCTACTGCCCCTCGCCATACACCCCCCTTTCATCCCCAGAAACTCCATGGGGGTGTTATCAGGAAATGGTGCAATAGCTGTAAGGCATGGGGCAGTCCTCTCAGACCTGCTTATGCCTTCTTGGTGGACCTACCCCAGACAGGTCTGCCTGAAGAAATCGCCCTCATTGCCTCAAGATGGTCACCCCTGGCAGGACTTAGGACAGGGAGGGGACTTGAGCTCTGTCAGGGTAGTTACACCTAGTCCTTTTGACAAAGCACTGTAGGGTCTTTATGGCTTCCTCCCCAGGGAGGGGCGCTATGGGTCTGGAGGGGTGGGGTTGACTGCAGGTGGTTGCTCGGAGAAGTGCTACAGCTTCTGCAGTTCCTCCTGGTTTAAGCGTTGCAGGCCTTGATGGTTCTCATTCTTTCTCTCTCTGGCTCCCCAGCCGAATCATTCAAGACATTTGGCATCCGCCTGGAAGAGGTGGTGGTGAATGAGCTTACCCACCGCAAGCAGCTTGAACTGACAGCCAGGATGCAGGCTGAAGGAGCCACGGGTGCAGGCCATCGTAGTCGTCGGGGAAACGTGGTGCAAAGGATGTTTGGCCGCACCGGGCGCTCTTTCAGTCGCAGTAGGAATGAGCCCACCTTGCCCAGGGAGTTCACTCGCCGTGGCCGTCGAGTGAGTTAAACACTCCAGGTTTCTGACGGGGGCCCTTCCTGAGATGTGCAGTCATGTGAAGCAGGAAGGTCAAGACCTGTGTCTTTACATGAAGGGGGAGCTTAACACAACATGTTGAGGTGGTGTGCTTGACTTTCCACTGCCTCTTGTTCTGAATGTCACATAGTGCTCAGGAAGGTGCCAGTGGATCCCTTTTCTCCCTCATTCTGAGGTAGTCTGTATCTCTCCACAGGGTGCAGTGTCTGTGGATAACCTGTCTGAGCTGGAGAATGGGATTCTGCTGCTGCAGACCCTGCAACTTTCAAAACTTTCCTTTCCAATTGGCCAGCGACTTCTGGGGTCCAAAAGGAAGATGGGCCTCAATCTGATTGCTAACCAAGTCCCCCAGGTTGTTGAGACTTGCTGCAAATTCATTGAGAAATATGGTAAGGGAACTGCAAATGGTTAAATCAAAGAAAGAGATAATTAAAGGGAAGGAAGTGTTTTAGGGATGGGAAGAGAAAAAAATTTGGAGGATGAAGAGCTTAGATGGCATTCCCCTGGCACCAGTGGAGGTCAGGATGGAGTGGGGCGGGGGG